GTTACATTCCTGCTGCTGCAGCTAGAGCAAGAATTGGAGAAGTGCAGCAGGTTGTAGAGTCTTAACGTCATTCCCATTGAGCCAGCGCTACCTTTCCCTCTGGTTTTTAACAGCCACAAAAGTCGTGCTGGATAATTGGGCAGTGCTGACCAGGTCTCTTCCTTTTTCTGGTCGGGCTGGTGCTGCCCTTGGTGGAAAAAGAAAAGAAGGCAGAAATGTCTCTTCAGCTGTGGTCCTTATGACAACTGATAGGTTGCACAGTGCTTACCGAGTGTCTTAGAGTCTACAGTTATAAAAACCTTTCCAAATTGCTACTTCAGCGCAGACGTGATCATACCTTGAGCTTCCTCACCGCGTGAACCATTCTTGCGTCCCGCTTGCAGGACTCTTGTACCAACTCCCGGAGCCAGGCCAAGTGAATGGCAAAAAGCAGCAAGAACCGAGTTGAATCAGGCTCAGGACTCATTAGCTTCAATTCTTTACTCTTAATTTTGTCTCTGAGGAAGAAGGTTCGGGGTGATGAGAAAAACAGGCTGCCTTAACAGGAGTGTGAGCTTTCCGCTCAGCGTGGTGACAGTCGCTGTCTCCACCCTCATGGGACACCCGAATGGGACGACAGAGCTGTTGTGTTAATCTGGAAACGCAGGAAAAGAATTTCCAAGGAACCAAGGTAAATTCCGTGTGTCACTCGTTACAGCTGCTCCAGACTGAATTACAGGACCTGCAGAAGCAATTAAAAAAAAAAAACCCAACCAAACCAACCCCAAAAGCCCAGACAGCCCAACCAAACACTCCAAAACCCCAAAGTGGTACCTGGAGATGCAGACCAAGATTTCTCTGAACTCAGTGGTCAGAGAAATGCTGTGATTTCTGTGTTTGACTTTGGGATTAACTCTTCACCATCTCGTCCGGTGGCTCCACTGTATCGCAGTGAGTTGCGGATGAGTTGTCGGTGAGAAAGCTCAAGGTGAGATGGGGCAGCAGTCACGCGCGGGTGAAACGGGGGCGCATAACCCAGCAAGAGAAACACGCTGCCGTTTTGTAACAGAAATGCACACGGAGTTTATTTATTTGACTTATTGTACAGGAAAGCGTAGACTTAAATTATAACATCCTTGAGTTTTCTAGTTAACTACAATTGTAGTACAGTATCATGTCTTAGTGCGACTTCTGTTCTAGTGCGAGTACCCAAGCATTCATGTTCTATATCGGAGCGAGGCGAGCAGCTGTCCGTACTAATTCTTCCTCAGTGGAAAGGAGCATTTCATCATTACAATTGAAGTTCAATTGCTGGTATTGAAGTACTATCAAATAGATTTCTTTCAACGTGATACGGTATCTGTATAAACTTCAGGGATGATTGTAGTAAAACCGACGCGCAGCTCTGTGACTTCAGGTCACCGTGCCGAGATCGGAAGCTTTCTGTAAAGCGCATCGAGGCGAAGTTGCACGTGGCGTGCCCGCCTTGTCAGGGGGATTGGGTCCGGGAACACTGGGGTGGTGTCTGGAGTGAGGTTTGTGTGCGTGCGTGTGTGCGAAGGTGCGAGGAGCGGCTCCGGGAGCGACCGTAACGCTGCGGAGGCTTCACGGTGAGGGTGTCTGCTGTAGGAATTCACGTGACTTTTACTAAACTCTTTCTAGAAAACCCATGTTCTGAATGATCACCTCTTAAAATCTGGTTCTGTACTTGGAATGACTGTATCTGTCCGCCCCTCTAACGACACGATGCTACTAAATTACTATTGAAAATGCTGGCCTGCTTATGTTACGATAATAAAATTTGTGTCAGTTCATTTCCTGTTCAATTTACGTGTAAAGATTAAACAGTATTTTTTTTTCCTCTGCATTTTATGCCTTCTGTATACTGGAGTTTGTTCAAGATTGACATGTCAGGTGATACTGTACAAAATTGTATTGACTGCCTTTAGTGCACATCAAAAGTAAAATTCAGATGTATTTCCTTTTTCCACTTCCATCTGATTTCTCGACAACTCGAATAAATTTCATAGAGCCTTTCTAACACGAGCTATTGTTAATTTAACTGTTGCAATAACGAAGCTTTAAGAAGTCTTGCTGGTATATTTATAATTTGAAGAAGACCATGTTTGTTTCACACCGCTTCTTTTCAGTTGTTCTGTTGTCACTGTTGCAGCTGAAGAACTTTACTAAATACTTGACATGACAAAATAACTTGCTGGGGTTGTCCTCTGTATACTGATGTTAAATAAACTGTGATTGAACTGTCCATGCAGATAACTTTCAATAGTCCTTTCCACATTTGACTTTTAATTTATCTTGCAGTCCTTAGGTGGTCTTAATGCTGAGCAAACAGCCACGACGACAGCTCTTAACGTGCCGCATTTGAAAGCAAAAGTCGATCGCATCCTGTAACGTGCCGCGAGCAAACGTTGCGCTTCATCTCAAGGCCATGTGTACATTTTTAACGGTTAAACCTTGCTGATATTTTTGTTTAATTAGGACTAGAGTCATAGGAAATGGAGCACTTAGCAAACCTTACCGGACTTGTTTGGCCTCAGATCCAGCAAACCGCGGCCCCGGGTGTCTCTCCATCCTCTGCCTGTCCTTTAGGACCCCACAGGAGCTCTTTCCTCTCGACCCTGGTGCAGGGAATCTTCTTTATTCCAGCGTTAGATCTTGACATTCACCTCACGGGTGCTGAATTCACAGCCCTGAGGCCGTGGCGCTCTCAGATAATTCAGATGTGTTCTGTCTTGAGAAACTGTGGTTGGCCTCGGACTAAACTTGCCTGAACCAGAGCTGAATGAGCCTAAAACTTTGGCTCCAAACTTTCTTGGAGCCAATTGAGGTGAAGACTTAAGACCATCTGAGTGGACCAGAGACTGCATCCCCTTTGCAGCAGTGGTTCTGTGCTAGGAGCCAAGCGAATTATATTTACTGAAGGGTTTCAAAGGTATTTTTGAGACATTTCAGTGAAAAAGTGAAGTTACTTTGGGCCCAGTCTGACCAAGGTGTAGGACTCTGTCTCTTTGCACCTTCACTGCAGTGGTGATCAATATATACAGTACATAAGTGTATTTAAGAAGGAGAAATGAAATGAAATCCATCCCAAAAGCCTCGGGATGCAAGAACCGGTTGGTCCAAGGGGTTTCTCAGCAGTCAGGGTGAGCACAAAACAAATCCACCTCCCACAGGCTCTGTGGTCGTATTTTGGCAAACGACGTCTTGGACCATGGCGGTG